TGTGTGTGTGTGTGTGTCCGTATATCATCCTCAAGAGATGAGACAGAGCGACAATTATTTAAACATGCACTGAGACATCTGAGACATATCAAGACATCCATAAAGGAACATTTACATTTATATTTAATAACTGAATCCAGCTTGTGTATGTACCAGTAGCTTTAGCTCTGTGTTATATTATGTTGTGTTAATTCTAACATACAAAACTGAGACAAAGTGACGCTCAAATGTAAAACTTATTTTCCTCTTTTCTTGTCTTATTTTATATTTGCCAGAAAACTCATTTATGATGAAACATTTTCCCTGCATGCTTATTAATCCCAGATTTAGATAGTGCATTTTTTCAAGTAGTTTATTAAATTCTTTTGAGTGTGGATTTAACAAAGAAGATGTTGAATGAATTTCTATTTGAGAGGATTTTTGATGAATTTACACTTTATATGTTCAGGGTTGCTTTAACTGTAATTCAAGCTGTTTATATTAAAGCTGCGCTGCAGAAGGAGGAGTTGGAAGCTCGAGTGTTACATGTGGCGCAGTGTGCGTGAGAGTGTTTGAATGGCTTTACATGTACATCTGTGTCTCCAACTTTTATTGTTTTTTACAAGAGTGTTAGTTTATAGTTTATGAGTCTCATACATGATCAAGTGAGGGGCGTGCGTGCGCACGTGCGTGTGTGTATGTGTGTTGGACTTGTACATGTATCCTGATATCTTGTTATAGTTTTAACATTAGCGAGAGTTTGATCAGAGTGTACAGACAGGAATAAATGTTAAATGTGAAAGTGTCTGGGGATGTTTTGTTTATTTTATTTTTTTGGGCTTTGTGTGTGTGTGTGTGTGTGTGTGTGTGACCCTTCTGTTTCCAAATCAACATGAGGCAGAGTGTGTTTTCACTTCTAACACTTAATTATTGACTGTTAAGAAACACGGTAAAATATAATTTGATAAGAAACCACAGCTGATGTGAAAATATTGTTTTTGTAAGTTAGAAACCCACTGAAAGACTGATCTTTCAAATTCCATCACCTTATAAAAAAACGATTTCTTTAGCTCCCAGTTTATTAACAAATATTTACCAAAATTTTCTAGCGTTAAAATGTTTCACTTAGTCATATATTTTGCTGAAAGTGCAGCTGTCAAACCCGACTTAGACTACTGATATTTGCTGGAATTACCTTTGTCGGTCATTTTTTCTAAACGTGACAGACATGAAAATATAAGACATATGAAAAAAAAAGAGCACTGTTGTGTTTTTGCCTGGAATCAAATACTGAAAGATTAAGCTCATGTCGGTTCTCTGTGTCCTCAGATGCAGCTGCTGTAATGTTGCTGTCAGTCATGAAACAGGACTGTAGGTATGTATAAAATAAACCACGTGGATAGGAATACCGTTGAGAGGATGCACTGAACCTGTGTCCCTTGTCAGATACTTTTAAATGACTTTTCTCACTGGGTAGATATTTGTGAAAGGAACTGTTTGGACGGAAAGTTAGACTGGAGTTCTCCTGTAACTTCCAGCAGTGAATGTTGCGCCTTTCTGGTGCGTAAAAGAGGAATTTGGCTGTGTGTTGATGTCGCTCAGGTGCTTCCTTTAAAAAGTTATTCTTTAGGTTGATACAAGCATGTGGTGCCACCGACTGCTACCAGCTAAAAGGGCATAAACGGGAGCAGGGCTAGTCGGTGTAGGGTATGTGTAAAGGACAGGGCAGGTGTGGTCTGCTCGCTGGTCTCTGTCAGGTGTGTGTCTGATGCTCGGACAGATGTGGAAACCCCTGTGCAGAGCTGGGGTCGATCATTCACATTTGAGGAGTTTTTTTCCCAGTGTTAAAGGAGGGTTTCTGTGTGTGTGTGTGTGT